CCCGGAGAAGGGATGTGACAGGCCCGAGGTCACACACGGAGATGGCAGCAAAAGCCAGGACCTGATGCTGGGTGTCCTGACCCCCCCATCCAAGGCTCATTCTCAGCAGATGGCTCTGTCCCCCCTCGCCACCCCTCCCCCAAGGAAATGGATGTAGGGAAAGGAGGGGAGGGGAGAAGGGAGGAGGGAAGGAAAGCAGGCTTATCTTTAAAAGGCCTGGTTCTGAAGAAACCCTTTTGTCTTCATCCCTCACCAGCCCTGCTCCTGTTTCACAGGCCGGCCCCCTCCGTCTCCTTCCTCCAAGGCCCCAGAGGCTGCGGCTGCCACCTTTCAGAGCCAGTTAGAAGGAGGCCAGTTAAAAAGTCAGATATGGGGGACTTCCCTGGTGGTCCAGTGTTTGAGAATCTGCCTTCCAATGCAGGGGATACAGGTTCAATCCCTGGTCGGGGGCCTAAGATCCTACATGACACAGGGCAACTAAGCCCGTGCACCGCAACTACTGAGCCGCACGCTCTGGAGCCCGCGTACCACAACTAGAGAGAAGCCTGAACGCTGCAATGAAAGACCCCACGTGCTGCAACAAAGATCTCGTGTACAGCAGGTAAGACCTGACACAGCCAAATAAATAAATAATATATATATATATATATTTTTTAAAGTCAGATACGGAAAACAGTATGGCAGTTCTCAAAAAATTCAACGTAGAATTACCACGCGATCCAGCAATTCCACTCCTGTGTATATGCCCCAAAGAACTGAAAGCAGGGACTTGAAGAGATATTGCACACCCATGCCCCTAGCAGTATTACCCACAACCACCAAATGGCAGAAGCAACCCAAGGGTCCACCGACAGATGAACGGGTAAACAAAATGTGGGATAGACTCAACACAGTAGAATATTACTCAACCTTAAAAAGGAAGGAAATTCTAACACCTTCTATGACATGGACGAATCTTGAGAACATTATGCTACGTGAAATAAGCCAGACACAGAAGGATAAGTACTGTGTGATTCCACATATATGAGGTCCCTAGAGGAGTCAAATTCATAGAGACAGACAATAGAATGGTGATTGCCAAGGCCTGGGGGAGGGAAAACAGGGAGTTAGGGTTTAATGCGGGCAAAGTTTCAGTTGGGGAAGATGAAAAAATTTTGGAGATAGATGGCGGGGACGGTCATATAATGATGTGAATGTACTTAACACCACTGAACTGTACACTTACAAAATGGTTAAAATGGTAAATCATATGTTAGGGGTATTTGACCACAAGAAAAATCCAAAAATTGAAGGCCGTTCGGCCCGTCTCTCAAACTCAGTGGTCCCTTCAGGCCCCCCACTCAGACACTCAGTCCTGCCTTCCACCACTGGCAAGGGGGAGGTAGAGGTCCCCACCCAAACCAGGCTCATCCTTGGCCTCCTGTCACCCATCAACAGGTGTGGCTCAGGGACCAGCTCCGCGAGGGGAGCGCAAACCCCCTGGCCGGGGTCACAGCCCACCCCGGCTCAGCCTGTGCCTTCAGTCTCCAGGCGCCCCACGGTCCTGAATCTCCGGGAAGTGGACCCACTTGGTCCTGGCATTTTCTGTAACACGTCCCAGCCCCACCCAGGCCAGGCAGCCTCCCCAGGCTGGGGGCCTCACCCCTGCCTGGCTCCAGGGGTTTCGTTTATTTTCAGTGTGTCCACATCCCTGTTTCGGCCCTGCCCACAGGAGGGAATGCTTTAAAGAAAATCTCAGTTATTAATGCGGTTTCTTTTGTTGTAAGTCAGTGCAGAGGCAGCAAATGAGAGTTTATTTTCCTAACGTGCTTGGCATAGCTCAGTGCCCCGGCCCAGACCTCAGCCTTTGATTTGGGAGGAACCCGAGACCCCGATTTGCTCTGAGTCACTGGCGAAGCCACAGCCTTCCCGGTCAGTTCCAGGGGGGAGCCTGGTCCCGGGGAATCATTGGCAAAAATAGGCTACATCTACTGATGACTTGGTGAAAACAAAAGATGGAAAAATATATTCAGAAAACTTTGAGACTGCTAACCTGGCACGTTGAAAAGATATCAATTTTCCAACTCATCAGTTTCCCCATTAACCTTCATTTTTCTAATAAGGCGCACCCCATCTCTGTTTGGTGTCAGTCGCTTTCTTTGGACCTGGAAGCAGCGCCAGAAGCCACAGGAAAAGCCACTTCTGAGTATGTCCAAATCTTCACTGAGGGGCCAGGGTTCCCTGTGGGTCCAGGACTGGAGGACGAAGCCACAGCCCAGGACCCAAGCCTGCCAGCCTGGGGTCCAGAGTCCCAGTATCCCGAGGTTTGGTTTGTAAAGGGGTCCAGTGATGCAGGCTGGGATCACCAGGATGCGGGGATGAAAGGTCCCCTCTCCCCCAGCTTTGGAGACTTCAGGACTTGGGAGTCCAGCGGCAGTGGTGGGGGGACCTGCTTGAGGGAGGGAGGAAGGAAGGAAGGAAGGAAGGAAGGAAGGAAGAAGAGTGGGACACAGGCCTCTCCTCCATCCACTTTCTGTCTGCAGTCCGAGACCCAGCGAGCAAGCCAAGGGATTCTCCCAGGCACGGGGGCTGCCTCAGAGTGCCCCCACCCCTGCCCCCCACCGCCTGGCAGCGGGCACCCCTGGAATGAGCCCAGTTGGCCTTGGGGAGCTGCTTGACTCGACATAAAACATTTGGATTTCATGGCCTAGTGATTTGTTTTCAGTCTGAGGAATGAGTATAGGGTTACCTCCTTTTAATTTTGCCAAGTAAGGACATTAAAATAAAACAATCTCCAGCTATTATCCCTATTTCATAAAATAAGGGTGTTTTAACACCAAAAATGAGTAGGAAAGATATAATCCCAAACAAGAGACTCCTTTAAGCTGGATATTAGAGCTTCAGGAACTCTCCACGTTGTCCACGTTGCTTTCCATTTGCAGAGGCCTGGAGCAAATCGCCCAAAGGGCTGAGGGCCAGAAGCTTGGGGGTGGGGGCGTCCCTTGAGCCCGGCCCCAACTCTGCCTGTGGCCCCTTGTCCCTCACAGATGAGAAAGGCGATCCCCACCTCTGGAAGCAGACCAACTGAGGGCATCAGGGGCCCCCAACCCCATCCCACCTGATGCCACGCCCAGGGTGTCCTCTGTCCCTGGTACCTGGGAATTCCCTGTGTGCAGAAGCCCGTCCTCAGAGAAAGGGCTTCTGGGCTCTCAGTGAGGGTGGCCTGACCCCAGGGGGCTGCTGCAGAGGCCTGCTGCCCACCCAGCTGTCTGGGGGCTGCCAGTGGCCCTGTCCAGGTACTTGTGACCCCAGCTGTTCTGGGCCTCCCCAGGAGAACCCGCCATTCAGACCCCTTTTATGCTGTGTCCAGGAGAAGCAAGACCTCCCCCTGGTCCGTCCCCACGGCCAGGCGCTAGGACCGGAGCGGGCACCCACCCCAGCCAGCACTTGAGTACAAAACGCCCTGCCTCCTTCCTTCTCTCCCCAACCCTCAGGGCCCCCCATTCATCAGGGCAAAACCAAAGACCTCTCCTCTGCCCTGTGGGGAGGCCAGCTCAGAGCCAGCAGAGACCCGAGGTGCTCACACGACCCAGGCTGGCCGGTCCCGCCCCCTCACCAGAAGGCACCCCACTTTACCCTTGACCCAAACCAGACACCTTCCTTCCACTTTTCCACTAGGGAAACCCCAGCTCCCAGGAGTGGGTCTACCCACTTCCTGATCACCTGGGCGGGTGAACAGATGCCAGCCTGTGGCTGGCAGGAGGCGGATGCCACTGGGAAACACGGCACCAGCGGGGCGCTCTCTGAGGTGCACTATGAAAGGCAGGTGTGTGTCAGGTGTCCCTCACGACCGCCCAGGCTCCCGGACAAGGTTTCCGATGAGGATGCCGTCACCTCCGTTTTCCCTGCACCTCCTCTCATCTGAAAAGCGGGGCACGCAGCCATCCAGAGCTCCCCTGAGACCCAGGGGCTGGTGCGGGAAGTGGGGGGCGGGCTCCCTGGGGACAGGTGGGAAGGCTGCTGGAATCAGGTGGGTGACTCTTAGGGGCCCAGAGCCTCCAGCAGGGCAGCCTGCTCCCCAGAGCTCGGGCAGCAAGCCGGCAGTGGTCTCCGACGACCCCACCTCCTTTTCAGGGCTTGGGTGAGCTATGGGGACTCCCGGCCTCCCCTCCCTCCAGGAAACTCTCCATCTTCTCCTGCCCTAGCCACACCCCCCTTCCTACCAAGGGCTCAGGGCCCAGCAATCCTCTGCGACTTTTTGAAAAAAGCCACTTGGGTGGGTTGTTTGTTTTTAAAGCCCTTTCCTGATGACCTTTAACCTCGGCAGGGGAAGAGAGGCCTAGCTAGCTCTTCAGGGCTGGGCCATTCCCCCTAGGGAGCTGCTAGTGGGGCAAACTGGAGGTAGAGGGGGGGCAGGCATCGGTACCCCAGCCAGGAAGTCCATCTTACAAAAGCCTAGTAGTCGCTGGATTGGTATGCTGGAGCTAGAGAAGGGGGCAGACTTTGAAACTCAGCTGTGCGACCAGGTCACTTTGCCCCTCGGAAGCCTCGGTTTCCCCAGCAGTAATCGCACCCGCGTCTCAGGCTCTTTGGGAGTGGGGCCTCCAGGGCTGCCTCCGGGGTAGGACACACGGCACACAGCTCCCCGTGCTTCCAACGACTGGAGGTGGCTCTGGCCAGAAGGCAGTGCCCTCCGCCAGTCGAGAGCTCCCGTCCCGCAGCCCGCCCCATCGCGACATACAGCCTCAACGAGGGCTGCGGCGGCGGCGGCGGCGGGCCAACCCATCACTCGGGCTGCAGTGCCCGGCGCCCGCACCCCCGGAGGTCCTGCCGCGGCGCCTCCTTCCCAGGCTGGGGTGCGGCTGAGCCAGCGCCCCGCATCCGTCGCCTGCCCCGTGCTCACCCCTTTGGACCCACGAACCTCTGGCCTCGCACCCCTCCAGCCCCCGCACCCCCGTATTTCAGTTCCCACGGCCCTCGGCAGCCCCGCCCGAAGCCCCGGCCCGGCCCCGCGCACTCACCGTCCTGCGGCGCCGCTTCGCTGCCGCTGCTGCCCCCGGACGGCTCGCGCGCCGCGCCCTCCCGCGCCTCTGCCCTGGCCGCGGGGCGCGGCGCTAGCCGCCCGGCCGCCGCCACCTCCTCCAGGTCCAGGAGGTGGCTGACGGTGAAGTTCTTGCGCGCCTGGGCGCAGTCGCCGGGCCCCAGCGCTGGCGGCGGCGGCGGCGGCGGCGGCGGCCCCGGGCCCAGCGCCGGCTTGTCCGGGGCGAAGGCGGCGCCGGCCGCGCTGTCCATGCCCGCG